GATCGAAAGTTACAAATTTTTAAACAAAAAAGTGCAGTTGCGTAAAGACGGTTATTATTGGTCTTGGATTTACAAATTTGCCAAAAATCAGAATTTGGCACGGCTGGAAGAAAATTTTTCGAGTTTTTAAACCCAACTATTTTCTTCTGTTTGGGAAAATTTCACGTCGATATCTTGTTCAGCTGGAACCTAACAAGTGATTAAAAGGGGACTGTGCAGTGCCATAAAACCGCCCATTTTCGCTCCCAATTTTACAAATTTGGCAAAAATCAGGTTACCGCTTGATTTGAAAGAAATTATCCCGGCTTTTAGGCCCATTTATTGTCGCCAGCCGGTAAAAATTTCAACCCAATTCGTGCTCCAGATCCAAAGTTACGAATTTTTAAGCAAAACAGTGCAGTTGCGTAAAGACGGTCATTATTGGTCCTGTATTTACAAAGTTACCAAAAATCAAAATTTGGTGCTGATATAATGAAACTCTCTGACTGTTGAGACTCAACTGTTTTCTTCAGAATTTGAAAATTTCACGTGCATGAATTCCGACTCCAGCTGGAAACTTTCGAATTCTTAAAAAAGCGCTGCAATGCTCTAAAGCCGCTCATTTTTGGTTCTAAGTTTACAAAATTGTCAAAAAACAGTCTTTGGTGGGATTGAAATGAAATTGTCCCGGTTTTTGGATGCAACTATTGGCTCTAGACTGTGAAGTCGATGCTTTCCAGCACTCAAGAGTTACGATTTTTTTTTAAATCCGCAGGCATTGCGTAAAAATCGTCATTTATGGTTCTGAATTCACAAATAATAAATAAAAAATGAAGATTCAGTGCGAATCCAATAAAGTTTTCCCGGGATTTAGGCTAAACTATTTCCTCCAGACTGTGAAAAATGCAAGTCAATACTGCCTGCAGAGGGAAAGTTACGATTAATATTTAAGAAGCGCAAAATTTTGGTCTCAATTTTACAAATTTGTCAAAAATCAGGCTGGAGTGCAATTCGCGTAAAATTTGCCAGGTTTTTCGATCCAACTATTTGCTCTGAACTGAAATCGGCAAATTCAAGCCTCTGCTTGCTCTGGATTGGAAGCGTTGCATTAAAAAAACCATGCAGAGCATGCAAATTGTCCATCAATTAACACGCGAATTGCCACAATTACCAATATTTTCGCACCCAATTGAAACCGGCCATTTATTAGCTTCCTGATGGGCTGTTTGACAGCTGTCAGTTAAATTGACGTGCCATTCAAAAACTCCCGCGCTGTCACAGAATCCTCCAGCCTCAATCACTGGCCGACTAATTAGAGCGTCACCTTGAATCTGCTCGTCACGCTTACATAAGAGCGGGCTCAAAAAATCGCTCAAACATTTCCAGATCCAGAACAAAAACTCCTGTGCTGGAAATGCATCCGAAACGTCCGGCAACAAGCAGTTCAGTCGGGGGTACGGCGCCTTCTTGATTGACCCAATTTGGCAAATCTGTTATGCTTGTGTGCTTATCGACGCTCTCTGGATGTCCGTCTCATCCAGGAACTGCACTTTTTCGTCCCATTTTCCCGCAGGACTATCGATCAGTGACACGGACGCACTCGATTCCGACCACCCGACAAGAGATCACTTTCGCGAAATGCACGAAATATTCATCGGATCAACTGCGATGACGTCAAACTGGAATGAAAGGGGATGATGCGGGCAATTGCGGTGGCGCCCTCCGGCTGGAACTACGCGCAAATCGATACTCCTTCAGGAAACCTGAACCGATGAGTTTCGGTCGGGATAACGACCTGCCAGTGGCGCAACGGGGAGGACGCGATTTAAGGGTGGGTTTCAAGGTCACGCCACTTACCTCCGAAGACGTGAGGTAGCAGAGGCGGGAGTCAGCGCTCTCGATGGACGCCTGCTGGACGATGCCGTAGCGGCAGGACTCTCGGTCGCTCATGTAGTCCGAACGAAGACTGTCCTGCCGGTCGAACAATCCGCTGGAAGGACAAAACTTTTAGGTCAAGTGCCGCAGCAATGGGAGCAAGAGGTCAAGGAATAGGAGGAAGACCATCCAAATAAGGGAGTGCAAAGAACTGCTCGTCTAAGCTCCTCTCTAGGCCTTGCCAGCAAGCCCAGACCAAATTGGTCACCTGAACCATCAAACGCTGGGAGGACAGGTATATTCCACCCCTCTCCACAGGGAAACTATACGCTTTCAACCGGTTAAGCTGAGCAGTGCCTGGAGGGATTTTTATATTTAGGGATTCCTACCGTTAAAAGAGATAGACTTTCGAGGCCATTCCGTGAAACTAATGGGTTTTATGGGTTCTTAGGCCGTCGTTCGGTAGAATTTCTTCTTGACGTTTCGCAAGCACGAGTGGCTGGCATCTCCAGAAGTGGTTTGGGTTAGTTCTCATCAGAACTTCTCTCAGAACTTTCTTCTTCTCATCACAACAATTTTGTTCCGGTTGTTTGTTAAAACCACCCATTTTCGCTCCCAATTTTACTAATTTGTCAAAAATCAGGTTACCGCTTGATTCAAAAAAAAATCGGCCGGTTTTTAGGTTTATTTATTGTCAGTCTAAGTTCAGCGCAATTCGTTCACCAAATCGAAAGTTACGAATTTTTAAGCAAAACAGTGCAGTTGCGTAAAGACGGTCATTATTAGTCCTGGATTGACAAATTTACCAAAAATCGGAATTCGACACGGTTGGAAGGCAATTTTACCAGTTTTTAAACTGAACTATTTTCTACTGTTTGTGAAAATTTCACGTCGATATCTAGTTCAGCTGGAACCTAACAAGTGATTAAAGGGGACTGTGCAGTGCCATAAAACCGTTCATTTTCGC